TTTGTACTTTCACGGCCATGGCGGGTACGACATGGATGATATCTACGGTGGGGCTGCGTGAGTACTGGCTGGATAGCGGCTGGAGCGGCTGATCAGTGACCAAACTCAAGGAACTGGAAGAAAATGGAAAATACGAACTGGATTGACGGATGGACGGCTAGAGCTCTACTATGCGTGATGAGGGTACATTAGGTGGGCGGAAGCAGGGAAAGATGTGACATGTCACAACAAGAGGAGTCATCCAAGAAGAAGTTATGCCGGTACATCGTACTTTTGCCGTTATGTGCATGCATTAGTTCAAAGAAAAGTCCGTCCTCAGTATGATGTTTCAAGTCTGTTCTTGGTAGTACTTGTCTTTCATTAAAAGAATTGGCCCTAGCCCTAAGCCATATTGAATTCTCAATGAAGATCATGCCGGAAGGAGAGTACTATCGAGGAAAAATGTGCTAGACAACCTCAGAGCAGCCGGTTTGACGTCCGGATAACTAGAACGGTGGATTGGAGGAATTAGGACAGGGATGGCTTGTTCGTGCTGGATAACAGGCTCTTCCTGTAATTATATATATATAGCGTGGCAACTAGAAACAAAGGCAAAAGGTGAGACAAATCTGCATCCAAGCCAAAGAATTCCGGGCTACATCTTCGCCCCTTTTTGTGGACGTAGCTCTGAGATGTACAGGACATGATTGCTCAGAGCCAGGATATCGCCGTTCTCCGCCAGGATCTGAAGGTTTATATCATAGCGGCCATTGGACACCATGTGTGAGTTCGAGCGGATCATCACCCACTGTGTGGACGGATCGGGCCGTCGCTTGAACTCCACGGAAATACAGAGCGTGGACAGTGCGTAGCGGTTGTAAAAGCCTGGTTGATGGGTTGCGGCAGGCTGAAGGGGCTGTTCGAGTCAATTGGTCAGCTTTCAGAACGGGTGGTAGATTCCGTGTGGGCTCACCATATCTGACAGCAAGGCTAGATGCAGAAAGTCGGAGATCTTCGACCCATCGCGGAAGGATAACCAGACCTCGCGGTGATGTCCTCCCAATCGATGACCCCAGAGCCCGTTTGCCGACCTCGGCGCTACCCAGTGCAGTTTCCGTGTGACGGGAGTCGAATCAACTACTGGGTCATCGATTGTGACGCACTCTGTCTCACGCGGAGGAGTAGGGATCCTCAAAGCAGGGTCGCTTGTCTGTGACAGACCTCTTTCCTTGGATAGGTCACCGTATGTGAAGATGCCGACAGTAGCCGGAAGTTCCGGCTTCTTCCACAGTGTATTAGGAGAGCGTACCAGTTCCACGTTGACCACACACTGCCGTGTGGAAACACGCAAGAGGTTACAGGTGATCGAGACCGGACCAGGAGGAACAATGCTGAGGAACTGCACGAATGCATGCACTGGGTCGGGAAACCGTCCATCGCCCAGCTCCGCAACGATAAAATTCTTCGCGGCGGACAGCATCAACGCGTGCAGGAAACCTCCTAGCACGGAGCTAGTCTAGTCAGCGTCTGAGCTGCTGATATCGTTCATCACGGCACAAGTCCGCTAAACGTACTGCTGGGTAGTCCATTCCTGGGAGATACTGGCCAGAAACCGGTGGGGGTTCCCTTCGTCCTGAGAGACGGCAGTGGCCGCTTCCAGTAACGGGGAGTAAGAAGGTCGCGATTCCATAAGTACAAGCAAGACAACAACCGCCGAGAAGCGGGGGAGATTCAATGACCAGGGGTGTCTCCAGGTATGTATGGTCTCAGCAGGTGAGACTCCAGAGTAATCGAGTGTTGGTTATGTCAGTTATCCACCCCTCAAAATTCCTCCAGCATTTAATGACTAGGATGCAAAACCAAGTTTGACCGTCCTCCTTTTCTCAGTCTACCAATATTAGTACTCCGAGGAACTGTTGCGCCGGAAATAACGACATAGGTGTATAGACAGGGGTCTATTAGACACCAGTTCATCGAGGATGATGGACTTGGCTAATCAAAGAGACTCTGCTAGCGCCATGAACATCAAGTTTAATGCATAGGCAAAATAGCATTGAACCCCTCGATGTCCTTAAGATAGCAGTTGAGTCCTGCGGACGAACCAGATCTGCGCTCGGAAAGGGGAGTGCATGGAGCGGATCGCAGCCGAGGTAGTATTTTAGCCGTACCCCGTGACGGCTCCGTATCGATTGACGATCGTTGGGCCTAGACAAAGTCCTAGGAATGTTTTCAGGGGCATAAAAATTTGCGAAAGGGATAGATACCAATCCTCGGCGATTAAGTTGAGGAATTGTATCTATGCCAAAGACATTCCGATCCGGAGTGGATAGAGATCTGATAACCGTGAAAGATGGCGATGACGATATCAATGAGATAATGATGGGTCTTCGTCGTGCTGGTTACTGTTAGTCAACGGAACCAAAATTCGGTGACTGAGTCAAGGTATCAATCAATCAATCACCTCAAGGCGCATGGCTGTCGTACGATCGGATGCCCATTTCCAAGACCGAGAGTTCTCCCCATGGATCATAAGATCATCCCGCAGCTTTGCTTTTATGCAGCGAGTTGCCTTGTCCTGAACCTTGCTCATCTTTCCAGTTTGCCTAACAATTAATTGATAGAACCTCGAGGACATTCATTACATTTATTCTCTTTTGATTGTGTCAGCGTGTCTCACTCAAACGAGCATCACGTGTTTTCTGGTACGCGAAGACGCGGTGCCACGCGGAAATCCCGACCAGAAGTATTTTTTAATAATATGGGTATTGATATTATTATTAGATGCTTAGTCGGAAAATTTGCAGGAGGCAAATCCTACTAGTCTAGGTAGTGGTCCGTACTCTAAACGAGATACATGAGGTTACGGAGTATTCTACGGTTTACTCGCGAGAATTTTCCCAGTTTGCGGTGCCCCCGATCGGCTCTTCCGCCCGGACTCCGTGTATCCTCGCCTCTCGCCTTTATTATCCTCCTTTTCATTCCTTCTTTCCTCTTGTCTTTCTTTTCGTTCCTTTTTTTCTCTTGTACTTTGATCGGGCGGCTGGGCTGGAATCGACAGGAAGAAGTGTGGGTGAGGAAGAATAAATCACGGACAAAATGATGCTCAGCCCTGCCCTCCAGCATCGGTCGGGCCTCACACCGCAATCCCCGTTCCATCACCACCACCACAACCCCTCAGCTTCGACCGCCAAACCGCCCTCCATGGTCGTTCCCTCGACGCAAATGCAGGAACCTACTCAATTACCAACCCCCAATCAGTCGGGGCCGACCACAATGCCAACTGACGAAGATGGCAACGACGGCTCGCCACAGGACTTTTCCGGTCGGGGGAAACGCCTGACACTCGCGGAGCAAAAGTCTCTCTTCCGCCTCTGCGAGCAGTACATGAACCGCTACGACGCACACGAGTACCCCAAGAGCTTCTGGATGAAAATTTCAGAGTTACTCCTTAAATCCACCGGTCGGAAATACTCCTGGCAGTCGTGCCGGCGACGGATGCAGCAGTACGTCGAGAAGCGAAAGACCTATTGGGCAGCATTCGACGCCGACAAGACCCTCCCCGATCTAGGCGACATGGATGAGGACCTGGCCTCCGACATCGACGACTGGATGGGACGGTGCGAGCTGCGGCTCCAAAAGGAGGAGAAAGAGCGCAGGGACAAGGCGCAGCAGTCCGAGCTCGAGCAGGCGGAGCTCGCGCGCGCCCTCAAGCTGCAGCGGACGTTCGAGTGGGCGAAGAATCTGCCTCCCCCGGAGGAAATGGAGCGCCAGCCGACCCACTGGGGAATGCCTCCACACCGATTCGTCATCATGGACGGCCGATTGCTTCAGGGGTTGGATCTCGCGTTCCATCTGTCCAAGGTCCGGCCGGACGAGAGCCGGCAGTTGGCGCTCGACGCTGTCCTGCTCCACGGCGAGTTCGGCTACCCTTCAGCAGCAGCACCCGACCAGAAACTGAAACCGGAACCCTCGGGCCCTTGCCTTGGAATCTTTAACCCTCGAGACAGGAAGCGGCCGCTCGACGCCGTCGACGGCGCTGCCTCGGAGCGACCCGCGCGGCGTCCCCGGACGGATCTCGATCCGCACCCCCAGCCCCAGGCTCAGGCTCAGGCTCAGGCTCAGCCTGCGGCCGGCGACAAACCCTCTGAGAAGAGAGAATCGCCCGCTGCGATGCTGGCACGGAAGAATGTGGACCGTATCGTCAACCACCTCTGGCTGCAGTTTGCCAAGGGCATCGCGCCGTACTACGAGGAGCATCGGGACCAGCCACAGACGAACAAGCAGTTCGGACTGGTGCTGTACGATCTCTACCGGGATCTAGGCCGGGCTTTCACGAAGGCTGTCAACCGACTCGTGGATTTGGATTGGGATTCCGAGTACGAATCCACATCGGAGTATTGATTTCTGTCTTCTTTTCATATTCCCGCGGCATTTGATTTTGTGGATATGTTTATGTTATGTTGATCGGTTCTGATATTTTCTTCTCTGCATTTTCTGTCTGTTTTTCTCTCTCAGTGGTTCATCTATTTGCATCTTCCCATGCGCACCAGACTGGCTAGAGATACCCATTGCATGACTGTCCTGTTCAGCGTCTCTTACGATGGTTCATATCTGTTCTGTTTCACAGCGTTTCATTCTTGCATTACATCATACCTATAGACAGGCGGAGTTTGTGCAATCAATGACTAGGTATCTTTCTACATTTCTTTCCAGTCTTCCAGATGTGTGGAGAAGCAACGCTCTCGCTCTTCGTTTTTGTCCCATTATTATATTAAGTAGCGTATTTAATTGTATACTCGAACTACACGGATTACAGATTGGCGCAGCTCTGCGGCTTTGCCATTACATTGAACATAATGCACCACAAACGGACATGAAGACCCTCGACTCCGCCAAGCGCAAGCAGGCAAAGGCGGGTATATAGACAGCAAAGTCTAGACATCCGTCTCCGCGGCCTTGGGCTTTGCGACATTCTCCACATCTCAGTCTTGATACCAATATCCTTGACGTGCAGACCCTTCTCACGAGCCCTCTTCAATCAGGTGGTCCAGCTTCGAGTGACCGGGCTTGGTATGCCATGGCTTCGGTCTGTTCTTGTTGAACATCTCCTCCATTTCTTCGACGGTCTTGCCACGGGTTTCAGGGTAGCTTCAGGACATGGTTAGTGATGGTCCCGTGCTGGAATGGACCCGATAATGAGATGGACCCGATAATGAGAAGAAAGACTTACGTGAAGAACACCTGGATCGCAGCTCCGATGCAGAGTACGCCGAATACGATGAACAGTTTCCATGTGATGTTGGCGAAGCCGGGGGGCACAAAGAGGCCTAGGGAGAAGTTGAACAGCCAGTTGCCGACGGCGGCGATAGACTACGCAAGTAGATATATTAGTGGAGTCTCGAAATGAGTCGACGAGAAGAAGAAGCTCACCATTCCTGATGCACGAGTCTCCAAGGACCAGACTTCTGCTGCGTAGACCCAGGCAACGGGCGCCAGGGCCAGGGCATAGATGATGATAAGGAGGTAGGAGAATGCGATCACGGTGTGAGCCCTGGATCCTGTCACCTGGACTAGAACATCCAGGTTGCCGTCTCACCTTCTGGGACGTATGTTCCCGAAGACAAGACTCCGCTGACGACGAAGTGGCAGGCAGCCATTCCCAGAGCTCCCTAGATGAGCAGGCTACGCCTGCCGGTCTTATCGATGTAGAAGAAGATGGCAGAGGCGAAGATGATGAATAGCGCGTATTGGATACCGGACGAAAGTAGTAGGATGTTTCCAGACAAGCCGCCGCTCGGTTAGCCTTCACGCCGCGACGCCTCGAAAAGATGTGGAACTTACTTTGTCATTTGGAAGACGTAAACGACGTAGTATGTCATGACATTCGCTCCAGAGAGCTGCTGCCAGGCTTGGACAGTGAAACTGGCCATGGTACGGCGCCACATACCGTTCAAAACACGACCAGCCATCAGCGTGTCAAAGCCGGACACACCAGCCTGGATAGCAGTACCAACTAACCACAAGAGACAGGCAAACACGATCGAATCCCTGCGGCCGATCAAGTCGGAGATGGGACCAGCTATGATGGAGCCGAAAACCGACCCTGCGGCGAGAGCAGAGTTGATAGCACCTTGGCGAATTCCATGAGGATTGTCAAAGAATTCGATATACTGCTTGGTTCCAATGATCGCTGACATGCTAGAAATGTCGAAGCCAAAGAGCATGTCTCCGACAGTCGCAATCACGGCGACAAAGTAGACATTGTATATCTTGGGGAACGTTGGTAGCTTCATGATGGTTGTGGGGAGGGCGGCAGTGTCAATCCGGAGACAGCAGCGCCCCAGACCACGTAATGGAAGTCAATCCGTTAAAGGTATTTACCCATACACTGACCTCACTGGCTTGTCCATGTTCGGCAAACCCCTGCTCGAAACCACGGAATCAGGCCAGTCCATCAAGATAAGATCGTCCTAGAGGCGCCAGCTAGACAAGGCCGGCGTCACACTCCTAGGATAGAGCCATTCGAGTCACCATTGATTCACATCCCAGACCAGGCCGTTCTCTCGTTGGAAAAGGCTGCCCAGACACACACGAGAGGTAAGCACAACTCGCCCATCGGACTTTGCCCGTCTTTGGGGATATGCTTGGCGACGTCTCTTGGCCGAAACGTCTTTGCCTGGTCACATTGCTAGTGCGGATAGGTGTATGATGTATCGACGACCGCAACCTTGGCCATCCCTGAAACATTAGAGTAGAGACTGTAGTGCCAAGCCGCGGAGGTAGCAGACTAAGGCATGGGGTGGCTTGGGGCCCCCAGCCCTATCGTATCCGGTATCCCCGCGTTTCCACCCTGTTCCATAAGAGCATGCCACTGAACGGCGCATTCCTTTGTGGAGAGCCGAAACCTGCACCTTTTTGGGGCAAATCCGAGGTTAATGGCATTTGACTTTAGGATTAGCGCTGCTCTGCAGCTGGTGGAATTCCTCAGTCATCTTCCTTGGCCAAGGAGCTCGAGTACCATCCATCAGAGGTGTTGCTGGCGTAAACGTGATTTCGAGTGTCGAGAGATATTGCTGGCTTTTAGCAGGTGGAGGTGAAACCTGGAGTACAAAAGAATTATTAGTCTGTTCCCTCAGGTCGCGGATCGACAAGGTGGTCAAGCTTACACTCTTAAACCCTCTTCCTCTGAGAGACACAATTATGCCGCTGCCCAGGAGTAAGAGATCGCTGAATGGGCCGGTGTTGTACGGGGTCTTGGCCACCCAAGCGCTCCATGCTAGCCCAGCCACTTTATTCTGCTGGGTTTGTCGTGATGAAAGGCATGTGATTCTTCATCTCGACGTAGACAGTGATGAAGATTTTTGGCAGAATGCCATCAAGATGCTCAGAAACGGCCTACATACCATAGAAGATCCTCTCTAGGAATCTTGGAGTTATGGGTTTTTGCAGAGGAGATGGGGATGAAGGTGAGAAGGTTGGAGATGTATATATCACCACAAATTCCATACTCACCCCTGGCAGAGATGATTATTACCTTGTATCTCTGCAACCACTAGATCTTGAATTATAATATGGTATCAGTATTGAGTTACTATAGTATCAATATCGAATCACCGTCTAGTAGGCGTACCGAGTTGTCATCTAGTATCAACATCGAATCCTCATCTCGTATTGATACCGAATGCGATCTAGTAGGGATATCAATACCAATACTGGATGAGAATTCGATGTTGATACTAGATGACAATTTGCCATCCCTGCTATTTAAGGATTCTATACAGTTACTGACCAAATATATATAAAACGAGGGTATTCACAGGACCTTTAACTCCACCTTCTCCTCATCCAACATATGCATACAAATCATATACAGATAGGCCACAGTTATTCGCAATGGCATAATCTGATCCACTTGTCCACAATCTCCTCCATATCATGTGCGATTCCCCATTGAGAGATGAGGCAGCGGAACAGCTTTTGCATGGAGTTCATCTCATACAACAAATTCCGAACAGCACCCATACCTGCTGGAGAGTCGGTCAGACCTTGTTCCACGAAGCGTCGAGTCTCGGATGTACTGGACAGCCTGACACTGTCGCTTCCGAGGTTAAGATCAGAAAGCGAGAGAAGAGCGTCCTGCCATACAATTGAGCGTGGAAGGTGAACGGTTGCCACACCTGCTAGCGCAAAGACCACATAGATCGTTGCGGCTGCAAAGAGAGAGCTCGGCATGTGGATTACATGGGCCCGGCCCCTGGGCAGTTGCTCAACAATATCCTGAATGGCAACAGCGTGCAACAAGGCGCGGCGAGCGTCCTCTGTGTTCGCCCACTTCACCATGTCGAATCCGGGCCTCAGTGTCCGAGATCCTCCAGACACTGGCTGGGAGATGTTGTAGCGTGAGCAAACGTGCCTACAAAGCACAGTTGAATTGATCATGGTGTCGAGACAGATGGTATGCCAACGTAACAGGACCTCTAGTCGTTCCGGCGCGGACAGGTGGATGCTCATGTTGATAGTTTCGTGGACCTGGGCCAAAGCCCTTCGCACGTCAGAACGACCAGGCGCACCAACGGCTGCGACGTCGCTTTCATCCGAATCTGAGACAAGAGACTGCAGACCCTCTAAGACTACACGAAGCGCGAAGGCAGAAAACTGATAGTCGAGGGGGCGGAAGCTGCCAATTGGAGGAAATAGGGAGCGAAACACCAGTCGGAATGACGGCTGTTCGGTCTTCTGACAACGCATGTGGGCCAACCATTCGTCAGGGTTACTTGCGTCAAACGCAGCCTCACTGCTAGGGAAGACAAGTGGATTGGCCACATGTCGTGTAGAGGCCCCGTCGCCCGACATTTGCGCCACAAGGCCATCTAAGATGTGATATGCGAGCAAAGCACGCTGCTGTATCTCTCTCGCAGCCCATACTCGCCATTGGTGGTCCTTTTCAGCATGAGAAGCATTAGGCAAGGGGAGGTGCTCCACAGAGAAGGATTCGCTGTCTAACATGCCACAGTGCCTCGCCCAGAAAAAGCCAAGCGGACGGAAGACCTGACTTGTTGTACGTATCACTCGATTCTAGAAACAATGCCATGAAGTCAATAACCGAATTCACCTGGCAGAAGAATCACCCACCTTTGACAATGCACCATAGATCTGCCCCAGAAGAGCTGTGACGAGCAGCTGGACACCTTTGCAAGCATCGTAGGGTCCGCGGTGTGTGATCGATGACTGCCACTGGGAAGGATCAGTATTTCGGGCTGTGGATATGGCAAAGTATTGCATACTTACCGAAGTAGCAACAGCAGTATGAGCCAGTCGCCATAAGGCCTCGCCCTGTAAATAAGGATCAGCATTGTCTTAGAGATAAGGACGGGGCGCCATGCTACCTTTGCCACTGAATCCTTCGGCCCGAGATACAAGGAGCCAAGCGCCATGGCGTTCAGCAAAAGAGGGTGAGTGCACTCGCGAAACACAAAGGTCGCCCGGTGCAAGATCGGAAAGGTGGGAATAAACCTCACAAAGAACATATGCAGACATTCATCAAGAAAGACCGATGTGATTGAGGTTGCCTTGATGGCCGCTGTCACACTCGAGGACTGCAGAATCAGTTCTTCTGCGAGTAGGAGAAAACAACTGTCAGAGTACCTACTGAGCTGGTCACCATTTCCGTCACATCCCTCACAGCTTGGTGACTACCACCTGAGGGAATCGTGCCTATTGAGGAACTCCGATCGTCAAAGGAGTTGGGAGAACCGAAATTGATCGCGTTGATGTCCTGCACCACGGGAGGAAATGGAAGTGTTCCCAGAGGCATCTGCCAATGCTCCGACGTATCTGACGACATTATGCTGTGGAACAGATTCTCCGAGTCAGGCCATATCAAGGAGAAGTCGAGATCTGAGGCAGACTGCTGAAATCCAGGCTGCTGCGCAGACGGAGGGGTGTTCCATGTGTGACTAGGAGCAGAGTTTGGCGCCGCATCGTCTGTTATAGCTCTTGTGGAATCCCAAGGATGGGCGTCTGGGGCAGTAGCCTGGGGAGGAAGATGTATAGCATTGTCCCCTTGGGTCACTTTGATTGTGGGAGTTGAGCTTGTTGCCCGGGAATGAAGTTTTTCATGACGAGTGAGAGCATCTTGGCGGGCGAATGGTCGACGACATTCTTTGCACACGAACGGCTTGGATCCGGTATCTTTTACATCATACAGTCAGCGGTCAAGGCCTTCAAATACGCAGAGGACAATTTCAATCATGTAATCGAGTAAGCGTGACTGGGCAAGGCGGAGATGTTATCTTACGGCAACGTTCATGCCTCTATTTACTGATGCAATTAGCGGAGTCTCCACAAGGATGTGAGAATGGAGCGCAACTACCCTCAGATGCTCGGCCTTGGAGAAGGCCTTATGACAGACTCGACACACTAAGCTCTTCATGCCTGCTGCTGTGGTGGGCATGACTAAGGATGTGGGTGATAACGATGACCTTTAGTTTAAAAATGTTGATGATAAGACACATTATCGTGATCACCCGACACCGCTGTCTGGATGAATGGATGAAGATGGGGAATCGGGGGCAAAGCGAACTCGGACACTCGTGGGGAAGTGTACATTATAGCTGTGGGGATATGTGGCAATAGTGTGTCCGAGGGAGTGTATATAAGAGCAAACTTGAGGTCACGCTCTCTCACGCCTCAGGCAGCAATTTGGGTCCTGTAAAACTAGAATTACTAGATAAGCAGAAGCCCAACAATAAACTCTCCAAGCAAATGCTGCAACAACTCTCCATGGCTCTGGCCCCGATGACCTGCACGGCGATCACATCTACTAAAATTAATCATTTCATTTGTCGTCATCTCACATCATCGCAGTTGTCCACTCTACTCATTTTGTGTCTCTTGTGCTATACGAAGTTCGCTGGCATCATCCCACTTGTTGAACAATCTTGAAGTGATGACTTAATCATCGGCTCAGAATTCGGCAAGGGACCTTCGACTTCCAGGAGCTCAGGTACAGAGAAGTAGAGCCCAGGGAAAACTCAATCGCGCCGAGAAAGCCCTGGAGAGCCAAGATCCGCCTCACAAACTCAAAAGGGCATCGGCAAATATGCTAGTCAGCTGCCGTTTCTGGGGCCTCAGCAGCGAGCTAGCTAATGGTTCATTTTGTAAGCCTCATCTCATGCAGAGTATCCCGACAGTCATGATACAAGCTTGAGTTGATTGACTGATCGAGAGCATTGATTAGTATCTTGGGATGTGCGAACAGTGCGACGTGGAATTAGGTCCATCTTCAAACCCGTCGACTGAGTGACACCACAATACGACTGCTATGGGTCCTCCTAGCCGGGTCAAACGTCTGAGCACGGTTCGTCCAATCAGTGGACTCGGCTCTATCCAGCAAATTGCCGTCTCGACACCGGGACTGTCAATTATCGGCTTTCTTACTCGACTGTCTCGATGATGTGCCGTGGGGAGTCCTCCGCAATCCGCGTCGTTCACTCCATGGAGACTTCCCCAACCGAGCCGGTCTCTGGGAAAGAATGGAATTACCCCAGAGAGAAAGTCAGAATGCCAGATGATAGGTCGTTGTCACCGGTAGCACGACTCGTGGAGATTGCCACATTCTTTTTCGGCTAGAAATCATCACTCTATATGACATTAGCAGGATTCGCTATTATTCATCCTTGTGTTTCCCCATCCTTCCTCCTCTCCTAGTACCCTCCATTCTCCCAGTGTCTCAAGCTCAACAAGGCAGAGTCCCTGGCGAGACTATTCAACAACTGAAACACATCTATTAGTCTCGGTCTCAGAGTCTTTGCAGAGAAGCAAAGGCTCCCGTTCGAGCAATGAATGCGTCTATGGAACTACGGCCGCACCGAGCGGACGACGATATCGAGACCCCTGTGCCTGCAAAGGCTGATATCCATCTCGTGGAGAGCACAGAGACTGGCATCCCTTCCAAATATGCCGATATAGTGGCCTCTCGTCTCTCCAGATCCCATCGGGACTTCCTGATGGAGCATCACGGCACACTGGATCTCGATCCTATTCCAAGCATGGATCTTGCAGACCCTTATAATTGGCCCGCATGGAAGGTTTGTAACCTCGACAGTATTTTGACCATGATAAATGGAGGATGTACCACCTTTGACCTATACTAACCATCGACTATTACACTGGTAGAAAATGGCGAATCTGATCCTAGTCGCTTTCCACGCATGCATGGGTACCTTTGCCGCAAGCGGAATCATCCCAGGCTACAGCATGTACGCTCCTTGATAATACTCTTTGAAGCCGGGCAATGAAGGTCCAGTTGCTGATGAGGAATTCCAACAGCATCGCCGAGGATTTTGGCGTCTCCATCAACAAAGCGAGTTACCTTACCTCCCTTCAGATTGCGATTCTGGGCGGAGCGCCATTGTTCTGGAAGCCCTTGTCTCAACGTTACGGACGTCGCCCCATCTTCTTGCTATCATTGATTTGCAGCTGTATCTGCAACATAGGGTGTGCCAAAAGCTCCGATTATGCATCGGTCGCTGCCTGTCGAGCCTTGCAAGCCTTTTTCATTTCCCCGGCTTCCGGTAAGACTTGTGTAGACATGTGTGAAGAAGGTCCAGGCTGACTTCCCTGAAAAGCCATCGGAAGTGCTATTGTGATGGAAACAACTTTCAAGAAGGATCGCGCCAAATACATGGGAATCTGGACTCTAATGGTCACAGTTGGCATTCCTTGCGGTCCATTCATCTTCGGCTTCGTGGCGCACCGTGCTGGTTACGTGTGGATTTACTGGGTGCTGGCAATGGTTAGTTGGACGTATCTACCACACGGCTCACAAGCGGCTATTAACCTTCATCACAGATCAATGGCGGTCAGTTTATTCTGTACCTCTTCTTCGGGCCAGAAACTCGTTACATCGGCGGCGACGAAAACCCGAAAGAGCCCGCCTGGAAACGAGAATACCTTTCCCTGCGACGCATCGACCCAGCTCCCTTTATGTGGTATGAGTTTGTCAAGCCTTTGACGATGGTCATGCAACCATGCATTGCCATACCCGCAGCGGCCTATGCCATGGTCTTCTGCCTAAGTAATGTCTTGGCCACAGTTGAGGTACCAACGCTTTTGGAACGCAGGTGGGGGCTCAACCCAGAACAGCTGGGACTACAGTTCCTTGGTCCCATCATTGGATCGGTACTGGGAGAGCAACTTGGTGGCAGGATGTCCGATCTGTGGATGAGGCAGCGAGAGCGCAAGGCTCGTAAGAGGCCTGAGCCGGAACACCGCCTGTGGCTCAGCTACATTGGTTATATCCTCTCCATTGTCGGTCTCATTGTCTTCCTTGTATGTACTCAACTGTCCGGAAACCACTGGGAAGTTGCTCCTATCATCGGCATCGCCATTGGAGCCGCTGGCAACCAGGTAGTGACCACGGTGCTCATCACGTTCGCCGTCGACTGTTATCCCGAAGAAGCCGGTAGTGTTGGCGTTTTCATCACGTTCGTTCGGCAGATTTGGGGATTTCTTGGGCCGTTCTGGTAAGTTGCGTGTTCACTGAGTCGGTTGTGCAAGGACTGATGGCGATACAGGTTTCCTGCTATGTTTGAGAATGTTGGAGTCGCTGCCAGTGCTGGAGTCGGCTGTGCTCTGATTGTGGGAGCTAGTGTCTTCCCGACGATTATCGTTCACTGGCAAGGCGAGAAATGGCGTCCCAGCCAGAGATGAAGGACCTTCTCAGACTTTGTCGTCATAAACGGCATCTCTTTGAATAGTAGGTTGATTTAGTGCGGAACAGGTGATAGAGAGATGGGACACGGCGAATAGAGTAATTGGAGAAGTGGATGGGGGACAACAATCATCGAAGAAAATTACCAAAAAGGCGTAAAGAAACTCAAAGCCCACGTAGTCTTGTTACAAACATTTATATACTTTGAAAGGATTTCAGGCTAGCTGGTTCTCTTTCCCGAGTGACAGGCCGATATCAGACCATCGGGGAAGTCGAGTCAGACCATGTCTAGTCCTCTTTTACGGGTGCCCGACGCTGGTTCGGGAGGTCGGGATTATCACACTTATTCAACTCAACTTTATCTACAAAAAGACAAGAGTTTCTTAAAGCGACTATTATTTCTCGATGTTTGGAGGCCGGCGCGAATTCTCTGCCATAAATCGCGAAGCTTAACCAGCTCCCTCCACCAAACTATGAAAATATTATTGTTGACACCTCAGGGCTCAGGCACACAGAACTAACATGCCAACCATAAACAAAGTTACAATGTTTCCCCCGGGGTATCCACAAGGCGGACAAGCTTAACTCCGAGCGGGATAAACATATACCCACGTGGATGTCTGAGATCAGCAGAAATAAATTGCCGATGCGAATTCCCTCTCCTCAGGTGACTCATAGCAGTCTCATATAGTTAGAAACGATGTTGCTAAGATCTCAGATTGAGGGTATAATCGGTTCTATGTCTTCAACCTAGCCATGCATTGGCCTTTCTGATTCAGTCTGTTTTGTTTGTTGGCTAGCATGAGTACTCGGCTTTTAGTGGTGTGTGGGCCGTGGCATTAATGAGTGTCGGCGATAAATAGATGGACGCGTAGTGTGTGGAGAAAAGTAGTTCGGTGACGGTCTGGGCGCGTGGGGATTCGTGGGCGAGTTAACAAGCATTTTGCCGAAACAAGGTATCTTGATGTTATGCATTCTAAATACGCCCATCATGCACCTAGCATTATCCAATTTTCTGCAGGACTTCGATTGATGCTGTTGGCCATTGGCTCAGCTTCTTTCTCGTTTTGTGAGAACTATACGATGCGGGTAGTATATACAATCCTTCTGGTCATCGACGATTCTGCCGGACACATTCTCCGGATCATTCCTGGTGCTCGATCTTCGTGATCAGTGTTCCGACATGAGGGAGTAGTTCGACAGCGAACTCATCGCCTGCAGTCAAAAACTCCTTGGGGTTCTTGGCCGCTCCGACACCGGGAGGAGTACCTGTCAGGATAATGGTACCGGCAGGCAAAGTTGTTCCCTGCGACAAGAAGCTGACGAGTTGAGGAACGTTAAAGATCAAATCACTATTGGAGCACGAGTCAGCGCGGGAACAAGAAGTGGGTTCGTGGAATTGATGCTTCCATACGTCAGAGGGCAGTCCTGCATGACTCGGCCGTTCTTCAAGCCGCGGATTTGAAGCTTGCTGGCATCAGTGATAAGAGCCGAGGAGACTATGACAGGTCCTAATATCGGGAACGTCAGGTCAGCGCAATCGTTCCTGGTGTTCTGAATCGACGGGATAGCTTACCAATGGGGCATGAGGTATCGAAGCCCTTGGAGAAAGACCATTGGCTTTGGTTCATCTGTGATGTCCGGCTGGAAACATCATTGGCGGCGGTATAACCAAGAACGTAGTCCAGGGCCTCTGCCTCGCTGACATCCTTCGCATCACGGCCAATGACAATAACCATTTCAGACTCGTAATCCCCCGTGTTGTCGACCTGTGTGATCTTGGGAAGAATAGTGGGTGCCGGCCATGGGTCCGCAAGCGCGGTGGATGGCTTTAGAAAGAGAGTTGGTACATCAGGAATAGTCAACTTCATCTCAGCAGCGTGCGAGACATACTAATGGAGAAAGAATTCGCAAACGATCAGCACCCAGCTACACCCAACTAAGAGTTCTGCGACTTACATTCAATCCAATGCATCGGATGGATCCAACCTCGCTCTGCGTCAGAGGAGAAAGGATACGCTCGATTGTCTCTGTTGTCTCTGTCTTCTGGCCTGGGTTGAGAACAGATGTGCCGGTGAATGGTCGTACAGAGACATCCTTGCCCTGGTAGATAGCCAAACCAACATCCACCTGCGGATCTACTGGCTCACCGATCAAGATCTTAGCAGGATTAGATCTGGGAACAAAGCGCACAAGGCCTATATGCTGTTAATATGATTGCGCTGTAGAAAGCCCAAGGTGCGTGGATGGAACGTACGCGAAAATGTGGAGGCAATCTTAGACATGGTCTTCGAGGGTAGGAACGAGGTTAGATGGACTTAACGGGGTATCACAAGAATAATCTCAGGAAGAAGCTCAGCTCAGGGATCTTATGAAAGCCATACTCCTTTTGAAAACCCCTCGCGGGACATTTCTACCCCAACACCGGTGCAAATGCTTATTGCTCAGGACTCGGAGTCGTGCCCGATAACAGCGAAGGTGGGGATGTTGGAGGGGGCCACCTCCTGCAAAGTGGGAGATGGGACTCGGGAGCAGAGGAATTGCCGTTGAAGAACTCTTAAAATTAACTGCAATGGTCAAAAGTCCGGTTTATCGCATTGAATGGGTTTATATATCGCAATGCAATTGGATCATTTTCAGCACAGAGTCCACCAGGCCCCAGAGATCCCCACGATGTAGTGTGGGGATGTCGCCATTCCCGAGGGGCAATGCGGATAAGAATACTACTCCGCAGATAAACATCGTAGTTATCTCCGAATATTGAAGACTTGCCTGCGTTTAAAGAGCTGGGAAATCGCTGCTCGCGAAAAGACACCTGTTCCGTTATATTAAATCGAATTTCATCTCGCATCAACCGTCACAATGGCCACGCCCAAGGGACCCTTCCGTCTTGTTACTGTCAACACTGCTCCCGAGAGAGCCAAGCGTCTCATCGGACGTGTTGCCGATACCCTCAAGGACCAATATACCATCATTCATGTGGACAACTGCGAGAGTAAGAGCGTCTTGTTGCTGAGAGTACTCAGGGCACAGGAGTGCTGATTGTTTCATCAATGTAGAAATCGAGGAGGTTGCTCCTAAGGTGAAGGAGCATATGCCTGATGTTTTGGTATGTCGTCTATCATACATCTCATATGTTCCGCATTTCCCGGATCCTGCGATTACAGAGCTGACGTGCTTTGTTCGGCTATAGTTCAGCGCCTCCATGTGGACCGCCGAGGAAGCCCGTCAGATCCACGAGATTGCTAGAGAAATCAGGCCCGATATCAAGCTACATGCCATTCCTACCGGTCTCCAAGTCGAACGGGGCCCCGACGCCATTGTCGAATATCTGTGCGAGAAGGTGCCACCACTTCTGGATGCCTAAACCACGGATTCTGAGCCTCTCTTTCGACAGTCGACCATTTGAAACCAGCGCCATTGACAATGATTATGTCTGTTCTTGTATATATTTCCTATAACTAACCACAGCGAGCTGAGTGAGCGCTAGCCGGCTTGTATTTCTTGTAATGCTTAGCATTCTGAAGTTACGGTACCAATAGACAAAGGGAGTTTTCACGGTTTCTCAATGTCTTACGGAATCAATTAGAAATGCCTCCTTCTTGTGAAAGTCGAACGGAAGTGACTATTTCAGCAACTCAAAGTAAAAGCAAATCTAACCGAATCGAAAAGCTACTGATATATATTGATAATGCGCAGATATATGTCTCTCTGTCCGCTATTCGACCTACTTAGGCTGCTTAGCAGGTGCAGATCTTAGAGGTAGAACTCCGCGGCCCTAAGGAGCTCTGCAAATGCCTTAGGTTTCAGAGACTAAACGAAAGCTAAATAATGCCGCGCCATATGGTTCTCGCCAATCGCAATGATTCTTGCCGGGTGAGAACCACATCATGTTCGCCGGGCAAGTTCGGAGGACGGCCAACAAGTCGGCTGAATTGCAAAACAAGGGCAGGAGGCCCGTGATAAGTTGGCGCATTGGCTGAAAAATTCATCTCGACCTCGTCCTCCTCTTTCCTGGCCCAAAGTGTCGGGATAGCGCCACACGCGCCGGTACGTGTCCTGGTGGCAGGAGAGGGAGGTCTTCGCTAATGAACCCAAGTCTCGATCTTGATGGTCCTTCGACTGGGACAGATCCAGACAAGGATGGCGAGTTCAACGTCGCCATTGGAGTGGTTGATCCACCAGCTCGCATCTGCACGGAGTCGTTCTGAGGACTCTGACATGCCCCCCTCGACCACCCAGACGGGCCAAGATGCAACCTGAGATCTAACATTCAGGTTCTTGTACGCCGAGTCAGCCTCCTTAGATGAGCCCTCGCTTCCATAGAATGTGGTTGACTGAACAGGGACGACTTCGTCACCGTCAACCGCCATGTGCCCTCTCAGACGGAGAAAGATTTCATGGCCTATTATTGCGTGTGCCCTCTCATGGGCTTCAGAGTGTACTTTCACTATGAGAGTCTCGATATCGGCAAAATAGGTGAAGCGCACACGTTTCGCTCCAAGGGTGTCCCGGCGGCTGTCGATGTATTCGAAAAGTTGTGTTGTAACGCCACTGAATGATAGGTACGAGTCTTCGATGCTTCCGTCCTCGAGAGCCGTAAACCTGTTCTCTATCGCTGACTTGAAGTCTTCTGGTTCCCCTATTGGGGCGGGAGGGTAGATATCGGTGAGTGCAAGCTGCGCCGAGGAAGGAGACTCCATTTCCGGACCTTCTGGAGCTGGGGTTCTCCTCTCACAGTCCCATAGGCATCGGATTTGTCTCCCGTAGGGAGGAAATACATGACTAGCAGCAGGTAAGAAACAGTAAGAATGACGTCAGTCTTATAGAGTCCTTACCTGGGCACTGTTGATGCCAAAGTCTAATAAACTCATAGTAGAGATGCGGAGGTTCATTTTGGATTGTTGAAGAGCTTGGAGACTACTCACTAAATTAAGTAGAGGGGAAAATAAAGAGAAGAATGCTTTATATAATAGAGAGCTCAGCCAGGGTGAGTCATGCAGTCTCATTCACACTTTTCTAGCTTTTGAAAGTGAATATCTGTTAAGTGATCATATATTCCTAGGTACTACTCTTAGGGGACCCACCTAGTATTTTGTCTTTATCTTTACGATTGACTTTTAGCTACTCTTAAACCTTTAATCCAGCCAAGTTACTAATGGTATAATGTTAAGTGCAATCAATTCCAACTGGATATAGACATAATGAATTTACTAGAAGCATAATCTCTAAGTCCGCATATCCCTTCTGGCTAGTTATAATATACCAGCTTTTAGCCATTCGTTGCCTCCTAAGGATGATAGGCTCCTGTATACTACGTGGTCACTTATAGCATAGGCTCTGGAGTCACTTGTATAGCTCAGGCCATGCAATGACTTAAGCTGCATCATCTCTGCCTTCCGCTGGCATTTCCGAGAATGTTGGCGTTTGTTGGCATCTGGCCTATTCCTGATTGAGTCACTGCCTGGTTTAGCGACGTCTTTATTTCCCAGGCTAGTCTTTGATTTCTTTGATTTTCTTGTTGTAGCACAATTATGGAACTCATCACACAGCTAGTTTTATAGGAGATCCAACCAGAGCAGAGCAAAACTGATGCCCTTATTGCTAGGTAGAGGCCTTGTGACATTAAAGTAATAGGTAATTTATTGATTCTTGGGTATCTGCCGGGATGAATATGGGTGGCAGTTCTCATTGAAAAGGCCATGATGATGCCCACGCCTCAGCTGCTTCTTTGTTATCTGGGACGTATGGGGATTGACTTTGAACACACCATTTATTGGTGTATAATCTAGCAGAAGATGAGTTGCACTAAACTAATAAAAATTTACAAAATATCTGGTAAAAACATAGTCTGGACTCTGGAGTAATACATCACCGGCATCTTCGTTGTCTTTCCTTTTTTGGAACGATCCGAAGGTATCGGCTTAGTCATCGATTTCCTCGGACTCGGCGGCCCCGAAGACGGGCGTGTCTTTCTATACAACATTCCACGTTCATCGTCGTTTCGCAATGTCGTTCGCAAGGATACAAATGAGGGTTGCACCCAGCATCCGAGCGTTCTCGACGTCTCGTATGCTTGGGTCAGAGCTCTCGTATCAGGTTTTCGGCCCAGAAAAGGAACAAACCACCCGAAATCCGATTGTCTTCTTGCACGGTCTCTTCGGCTCGAAACAGAACAACAGAAGCATTAGCAAGTAGGTTAAACGCCCTGACGAGCAGACTCTAATCCTTTGGTGATCAGCTGACTGACTGACCTCACAGAGTTCTTGCACGTGACCTCAAACGGCAGGTCTTCACTCTCGTCTGTCTCTCATTGCATCTTAAGAATGCACGACGAAATTACTGATGATCTTCAGGATTTGCGGAATCATGGCCACTCATTCCATCACAACGAGCATAACTATTCCGTCATGGCTGAAGACGTGGAGAAATTCATCCACCAACACGATCTGGCCAAGTGTGTCCTGATTGGTCATTCCATGTATGTTTCTCTTCTCTAGAACTGTTAGCGAGGTCGGACCATACTCAACTCTTCCTTGCAACAGGGGAGCAAAAACTGCAATGACAGTTGCTTTGCAATCGTCTGATTTAGTCTCGGCTCTCATACCCGTTGACAATGCTCCTGTCAATGCTCCTCTCAAGAGTGACTTCGGAAAGTACGTGCAAGGCATGCAAGAGGTCGAGGCGCAAGGAGTCACCAAGCAGTCGGATGCCGACAAGATCCTAAAAGAATACGAGGAGGTAAATTTTTCCTTCTTGCGCTCCAACTGGTTCTTGGATCAAAACAGTAAACTCACACGAATTGCACAGTCCCTCCCCATCCGTCAATTTCTCTTGACCAACCTGGTCCGCGCGGAAGATAGTCAGAAGATGAAATTCCGTATCCCTCTGTCGGTGCTGGGACCGGCTATTCCTGCCATGGCTGACTTCCCCTTTCGCGAACCGGGCTCAGTCACTTATGATGGGCCGACGCTCTTCGTCAGGGGCACGAAGAGCAAGTATGTTAGCGATGACACGGTTCCCGTCATCAAGAAGTTCTTCCCCAATGCTGAGATAGCGGATGTTGAGGCAGGCCATTGGCTGACCTCGGAGAATCCCGAGGCTTTCAGGCAAGGTATGTGTAAAATTAATGCTACTGGGTTATTAAGTTGGTTGACTAAGGATATTCCAGCTGTTGTGAAATTCTTGCGAGATCTGCCGTAGAGTATGGAGTTTGCATATAGAGGTGGAAGGACGGCGTTTCTATGCTTATGTATATGTTTGTGCATTCTGTGCCACTTTCAGAGTGATTAACGAAGATCTACTCGTAGACACATGTATGAAAAGGAATAGACACAAGGAAGGAAAGAAGTGATACAAGTAATAGTGATGTGACTCCATACAGCAAGACATGGCAAAGAGGTATCTCGGTGATAATCCAACCTGTGCAAGGAAAAAAGTAATCGTGGGAATCGTGATCGCTCGGCCCAGTAAATGCTTGAAGACTGACGCTGAATTATAAAATGAGGAATCAAGACTAGTCTATGGTGATCGGTCCCTCCGTGATCAACCTGCGCTTTTTCTTCTTCTTGGACTTTCTCTTGCTCTCCGAAGGCGATGCATCTTCATTGTCCAATGCGTGAGCTGGTGAAGAGAGTGTCATGGGAGACTCATTCCTAGCACCAGACGACCTCTCATTTTCATCGTCGGATATGGTTGAAGGGCGTGGTCGTTTTTTCTTTTTCTTCTTCTCGCGCAATGCCAGCGCAGGATTGGCCTCTGCCATCTCAGCATAGTTTGATAGTGGGGCGGCATCTGATCCTGCAGGACTATGTTCCCGCTTGGGCGATTGCATCCCACTGGCTGTGGGAGAATCTAGCGCCTGGGATTCCAAAGAATCTTTGAGCGCATTGATTTGCTCTGACAAATCCCGATGATCGGCCGACACGGATTCCTCGAAGCGGCGGAACCGATCATCGAGGGATTGTAAATCCTTTTTATTTAAGGTGATTTCATTCATCACGACTTTCATCTGGTTGAGGCCACTGGATAAGTTTTGGACCTGGTCTTTCAATTCGCGGAAGGATTCATCCAATTCAATTCTGTTTTGACCGTCGGCCACCTCTTTGCCTTTAATATGGTCCTTAATTTCGGAGACGTGTTCTCGATATTGCTCAGTAAGAGAGTCGAAGTTGGCGTGCAATTGCTGAAGTTTGTCTGGCAGAGCGCGTACACCCTCTAGCTGTTCAGTGAGAGCAGAGACCTGATGAGCTACCTTTCCAAAGGACTCCCCGAGATGGGTTACTTCTGCTGAACGCTGGCCGACGTCGTCTTGAAGGCGGTTTAGCAAAGCCTTCTGACTATTTTGGGCCTGAACAAGCTGCTCAATCGTCTTTTTCAGAGATGATATTTCTTTCTCGGCTTGGTTTTTCAAGGTTGTGATCTGCTCTGTCAATTGGCCTGCAGAGGGGTACATCTCTTGCATGGCAACAACCATGTTCTTTACGACCATTTCAGTGGAAAGATGATTGTAACGTGTCTCCAGGGAATGGAGGCCGACGCGCACACTCTCGAGTAAGCGATTGGAATTTTTTAATGCCATGTCAACTGTATTGATTTTCACGTCCACCGTGTGAATTTGCTGAAGGGCAGCTGCGGGGTTCCACTGGCTGATTTTCTGCATATCTTCAGCGAGGCGGCTGGAGGTCTCTTTCAACGATTGTATCTCAGCTTTATCCACGGCTGCTGCACGGTCCAACTGGCTCATTTTCTGTATTTCTCCAGCGAGGCGGCTGTAGCTGTCTTTCAATGACTGTATCTCAGCTTGATCTACAGCTCCTGCACGGTCCAACTGGCTTATTCTCCGTGTTTCGTCGGCGAGGCGGTTGTAGCTGTCTTTCAATGATTGTATCTCGGCTTTATCAACGGTTGATTTCTTAATCTCCTCCATTTCTGCGAAATGAAAATCGTCTTTCATCGCCTGAAGGCTTTGTAATTGCTGGAGTTGTTCTGACAAACTCTGGACTGCCGACTGCAAGGATGAGACAGGTCTGGGTATCTTGGATAGATTGTCTTCGACATTCTTCAAACGCAACTCAATATTAGATGCGTCAATTGGAACTGTCGCTGAACCGTCCGGCGGGATTGCCTGGACCTTTTCTATCGGGGCCAGACGCTCGTGGATTTCTTTGAATTTCTTCGCGAAAGCAGTAGAATTATCGTTGCTGGCATCGAGACGTTTCCGTTGCGCATCGATGCTTTTGTTTACTCTTTCGAGAGAACCCGAATATTCTTCCTGTGCCTTTCGCAAAGAGCTCAGCTTGGCGTCCAAGGTCATAGTGATTCTTTTCAACTCCTCAACTTCCGATGAAAAGTGTCTCAGTATGGTTTCTTGAGAGGGGAATTGAGCAATATCTGAGCTTAATTTATCAACGCGTTCCTTAATCTCTTTTTCGTATCTCATCTGAGCGTTGATAGAAGTCGCATGGTTGCCGGAAGTCTTCTCGAGTAGGACGACACGATCCTGAAGCATCTGGATCTTGGTCTCTTGCAACTGATATTTCTCACGACTCGCATCTGATTCTGCATCTCCCACTCGCTTCGTGAGCGCCCGAATTTCATCCTGTAGTTTGTTTATCTTCCCGTCTGAATCAGATTGATTGCGCAGAAGCAAAGGCACCCATCTGGTCGTGAGAGAATTTTCTAGCTGGCGATAGTGCGCTTGGTATTTAGTGATGGTCTCATCCATTCGTGTCAACTCAGAATCTTCATCCTTGCGAGCTTGCTGGAAAAATGCTGTGGTTGATGGGAAATTTGGCGCAGCTTTTGCCTTTCGCAACAGACCCTCTGTCGTGTCCTTCTTCTTCAGCAATTTATCCTTTTCGACTTCCCGAGTAGCTGTGTCAACAGCAGCTTTGATCAATTCCGAGAGGGTGCGAATGAATTGATCTCCAGGAGCCCCATCCTGCCTGTCAATAGGCGGAGGATTGTTGGGTGGCCGTACCCCTAACTTATGACCATTAGGAGATCCCGATATGCCAGTATCTAGAGATGCTGTCCTGGCTGGCGCTGGCCTGTTTCGACTGATGAGGCGAGGATCGCGTGAGGTGGGGGTATTTGAATTGTCGACATCCATTTTGTCTGCCATCTATACATTTAGAGGGCTAATCTATGACAGTGCCCGTCTCTGGTCATGTGTAGCCCGCATCTGATGGCAATTAGAGGCGAGGTTGTAGCGTGTGCGCAACTGTATCTCACAAAATTGAAGTCTATCATCTCGCCCTCAACTAGGCAAGGATAAAGACATCGACGCGTTGTAAAACGCGTAGAGGGCAAGTTTGGCTGGCTAGGTGACGGAAATCCAGACGGCGCAGATTTTTCCGGGAAAACTGAGCAAACAGTTGTAATAAACAAAAGTGAATCTTCTCTCTGTAAACAGAAATTCATTGGCCAGCGAGCGTGGACAAAGAGACGCATTTCGACAAGTCACAATATTCTGCCGGGCGGTAAGCAGGGCGGCTTCTCAAACTGTGCCTTTCTGCCCCGAACAGCTCTTTTATCGACACTCGCAAACTGAGAAGCTAGGATTGCGCGTTTCTATTGGTATCAGTGGCAGTACAGAGGAGACTTAGCTGCACTACGAATCAATATGGCCGTGGTAAGTGACCTTACCAGACCTTACATCCCTTTCATATGACTGATTTATATCACAGCCTATTTCAACCGTCGCGGAGACGAAGGAGCTCCGTGGTCTGAATCTCATTGCTGCTCATTCGCATATCAGGGGACTTGGCGTCGATGCGGACTCGCTCCAACCTAGAACATCTTCTCAGGGCCTTGTAGGTCAGGAAAAGGCAAGGAAGGCGGCCGCGGTTATATTACAAATGGTCAAGGAGGGCAAAATTGCTGGTCGCGCAGTTCTCATCGCAGGTCCTCCCAGCACAGGAAAGACAGCCATTGCCATGGGAATGGCCCAGTCTCTTGGATCCGATGTCCCTTTCACAATGCTCGCAGCCTCTGAGATCTTCTCTATGGAGATGTCAAAGACCGAAGCACTTACACAAGCCTTCCGGAAATCCATTGGCGTCCGAATCAAGGAAGAAAGTGAGATCATCGAGGGTGAAGTCGTGGAGATCCAGATCGATCGCAGTGTTACTGGGGTTAGTGTAGATTCTTGGTTTCTCCTCTGGAAGTTCGGTTGCTAACCGGTGTAGGGAAACAAACAAGGGAAACTCACGATCAAGACCACCGATATGGAGACGATCTACGACATGGGAACCAAGATGATTGACTCAATGACAAAGGAGCGTGTGATGGCCGGAGATGTTATCTCAATTGACAAGTCATCGGGAAAGATCACGAAGCTTGGACGTTCCTATGCTCGTTCTCGAGATTACGATGCGATGGGCGCTGATACCAAGTTCGTCCAATGCCCTGAAGGAGAACTTCAGGTCCGCAAGGAAATCGTACATACCGTCAGTCTACATGAGATTGATGTCATCAACTCACGGACGCAAGGGTTTTTGGCCCTCTTCTCCGGTGACACCGGGGAAATTAGAAGCGAGGTCAGAGATCAGATCAATACTAAGGTAGCTGAATGGAAGGAAGAGGGCAAGGCAGAAATCATTCCTGGAGTTTTGTTCATTGACGAAGTGCACATGCTCGATATTGAATGCTTTTCCTACATCAACCGGGCCCTGGAGGCGGAGCTTGCGCCAATTGTTATCATGGCCAGCAACCGTGGTCAAGCGCGGATCCGTGGAACCACATACACCTCTCCCCATGGACTACCCCTTGACTTCCTCGACCGTGTTGTCATTGTCAGCACGCAGCCGTACTCTGGCGATGAAATCCGGCAAATTCTTGCAATCCGAGCACAGGAAGAAGAAATCGACCTCTCGCCGGACGCTTTGGCTCTCTTGACTAAGATTGGCCAGGAATCCAATCTCCGATATGCTAGCAATATCATCACCACCTCTCATCTCCTAAGTCAGAAACGAAAGGCTAAAGAAGTTAGCATTGACGATGTACAGCGCAGCTACCGCTTGTTCTACGATCCTGCCAGGAGTGTCAAGTTCGTCAATGCGTATGAACAGCGGTTCATAGGGGATCAAGGTGCTGTGAACTTTTCGGCTCCTGCAAATGGAGATGCCATGGAAATCTCATAAGGCGCGTTGATTATATTGCTCCGTGAAGAAGATTGCACCAAAAATCAGGTAATACGACATGGCAATGTGGTGCTGCTTCCGAGAGCGCTGCTCTTGCTCTCTATCCTCTGATTTCGTTTGATCCTTTTTGTTTTACACATCTTATGATGTACGATAAGGCTGGCGCTTCTTCGAGCTCATGTGCATGGTTTGTTTGGTATTTGGGCTTCGAACTGGGAATAAAAGAATATTTATTTCAATGATAATCATGACGTTGATATGCCCTCCCAGAGGAGAATCCTATCTCGGAGATTGCACATAGAGATCCGTTTCAAGATTATGACCCCAATCATTATCATAGGAAAGCGGCCTCGCTCGTCCAGTCTCCTGTATCGCCCACTTTTCGAAATTCGACACCCTCGCCGAAATAGCCAGCACTTTTCCAAGACTCCATTGTCTGGCTGTCATATGGGCCGTGCTCGACACCGCCGTCTCGAGCATCAGACCAACGAAATTGCCACATTACAGGCTCTTCTTCGGCACTGGTGGGAGCAGTGGACTTTGAAGGAGTATCGACCCAGTCTTCGCCTGTTTCTTGACGGTACTGCCTTGTGAGAATCTCACGCTCTGTGTCGTAGATATCTGTTTGTCCCCGTGTCATGAGGATATCCGCCGCGCCGGTGATGGTCTCTATCGCCTGCTTTCGAGAAGCCTCATTGGGGTCGTCTTCCGTCATTTCGGTATCCTCGGCTTGGGCCCCGTTTTGCTTCGAGCGGGTCTTGTTCTTCTTGGCTTGCCATTTCGGTTTCTTTGGAGCCCCTTTGCCTATCCTTGCCAAAGCCTCTAGAGCTGTTTCTCCCCGTTGCAGGTGAGTTATTAAAGTCCTCAGTGCATCGGCCGTAAGAATGCTATCGTTCAATCGGTCTCTCTCCTTTCTCTCAGCCTCTCGTTTCTCTGCTGCCTCTTTGGCGCGCCGTATATCCTTTTTCGATACTCCCTCCAGCCAAGAATCGTAGATCTCGTCGGGATCTGCTGCTTTTCGTATATAATTCCCCTGATCATCAAATTTACCCTCTTCTTGCTCGGCACGCATATTGAAAGCATCTAGCAGTGGCGCATGCTTCTTTTTAGCTCCAGCACCTAATTCCTCGTCCATGCCCTCCTCGAGCCTCGCACGGTCTTCGTCTGCAACATCGCTCTCAGTTTCCACCTCATCCTCCTCGACCGTGTCCCCTGTTGCGTTCAGATCCGCACGCAATGTCACTCCACCTTTCGATGAAGCCACTTGACCCTCAATCTCATCATCTCGCAAGAAACGCACTGTTTTCTTGTTCTTCCTCAGTGCCTCATCGGCGTCTATTTCTTCGGGGCCGAAATCTTCCTGGAGCTCCGCGAACATGTCGTCATCTTCGGCGTCGTGTTTCGCGCGACTCCTCTTCGCCTTGGCCTCGATGCGCGCGCTGAACCCTTCATTTTCACTGTCCGAGTCGTAGCCATCCAGGTTCACGGCCTTGCGGCGCACTTGTTGTCCGCGACGGCCGATCTCGTCTGCGTCTAATACCGGGTCCTCGTCCAGCGCGTCCGGTGCAAGATTGGAAGGATTCCGTAGATCGAAGCGTGGCTTCTTGTGTTCGGAAGGGCCGTTCGGATCGTCTTCATCGTGGTGGTGTGTGCGCGTAAAGTCTTCACCTGCCCGCTTTGGGCGCGGTTGAGAGGACATCATTCTTGTTGGAAACGACGATGAGGAGCTTAACTAGTTGGAAATAAAGAGATAGATCATCGAATCAGTATTAGTAAACATTCCAAAAGCTCAGAAATAACGGAAGTTAGGCCTATGAGCTTGATTAGAGCTGCTACTTGATGCTGGCTTCCTGTCTTTTCTGGGGTCGGCTCGGAAAATCATTGCGGAGGTATTTGCGTCACTGTTGGTCCAACGATAAGAAGCAGCTGCTCCAGCTTCCACATCTCCAGCGGCCAACAGTGGGGGATTACTGATTCAAGGCACACATTTCTGTCATACTTGCTTTGCTATTTTTCAAAGAACGACTTGGTATACTGTGAGATAAAGCCAGGTATTCAGATCTCCTCAACACCAATTTTCTTGAACTTTCCCTACTCCCAACCCTCACAATGGTAAGCTCACCTTCAGCTCAATCTTAAGCTGCACGTTTCAAAAGTTCTGACAACCTCAGTTTCGCCCTGGGTATTGGGACGACGATCCCATGGACGGAGTCCTAGGCTCCTCCATGCTCCGTCATGGAGCCGCTACACGCCGCTTCGATGAATATTACCGCTGTTACCCCGTCGCGATGTTGCCTGGTCCAGAGAGAGAAAACGTCAACCATGGCGGCAAAGTGATCATGCCTCCTAGTGCTCTAGACAAGTTAACTAGGTTACATATCACATATCCCATGCTATTCGAGTTGCATAATGGTGCAAAAGAGAGGATGACACATGCTGGTGTTCTGGAATTCATTGCTGAGGAGGGGAAAATTTATCTGCCGTTCTGGGTTAGACAGACCATGTCCTCTTTTAATAATATATCGGCACAGCCGTCACTGACATCTTCTGGTCTCTCTATAGCTCATGCAAACTTTACTACTCGAGCCTGGTGACCTCGTTCAGGTCAAATCAACCGATCTTCCTCCCGGCCAATTCATTAAACTTCAAGCCCAGTCAACCTCTTTTCTTGACATCAGCGATCCAAAAGCAGTGTTAGAAAATGCTTTTCGGAATTTCTCTTGTCTCACGAAGGGCGATGTCTTCACTTTTGCTTATAACGACCAGGTCTACGAAATGGCGGTTCTCGAGACCAAGCCATCGAACAACACCAACGCCGTCTCCGTACTGGAAACTGATCTAGAGGTTGATTTTGCACCGCCAGTAGGATATGAAGAGATCCAACGCCCGAGTGGCACCAGCACACCCCTCAGTGGGGTAAGCGGTAAGCTCCCCTCTGGGGGTCTACTTCATCCGCACGGGACAATGG